CATTTCTTAAAAATGCCCGCGCCCCTACCGTAACCCCATTTAGAATTAGGTAAAAGAGGAAGCCATGGGAAATGCAGGAGAGAAGAGGAATGTCGAAGAAGATTTATTAATCTTCGACCTTTGCAATCCCCCAGTATCCTCAGTGCCGGCGGCATTCTCCTCCTTTTTTTCCTCCATCTTCCTCGCGATAATACTTTTCTCTATTTTATAATTATTTTCCCCCGTCCATAGAGGCGGCGATGGCGGCGACGGCGACAGCGACGATGGCGGCGACGATGATGGCGGCGACGGCGATGGCGATGACAGCGATAGTGACGATGGCGCCGACAGCGACGGCGACGTGATGGAGCCAAGGAACAATGAGGCTAGATTAGATCCGGCTATCATTTCTTTGTTTCCAATGCTTCGCCATCATAAGGCGATGAAGTTGGTGGAGGGGAGACGCGTAACAGAGTGCGCGGTGTGTCTCATGGATTTTGCCGACAATGACATTGTTCGGCTGCTAACTATGTGTGGCCATGTATTCCACCCGGATTGTATCAACCTGTGGCTTTTTTTGAACAAAATATGTCCCGTATGGCATTTTATCTTTGCAGCCACTGCATTCCTGTATGACACTCACCTTTGTTCTTTTGGTCCTTGTTAAGGAGCTCCAGCATTGCCCTTCATCAGCCTCTTCGGGCGCTTCCTCCAAATTCGAGCGGCATACGGGACATATTTTGTTAAAAAAAAAGTCACGGATTGATACAATCCGGGTGGAATACATGCCCGCACACAGTTAGCAGCCGAACAATGTCATTGGCGGCATAATCCGTGAGGCACACCGCGCACTCTGTTACATACTTACACGTCTCCCCTCCACCAACTACATCGCCTTATGATGGCGAAGCAACGGAAACAAAGAAATGATAGCCGGATCTAATCCAACCTCATTGTTCCTTGGCTGCATCACGTCGCCGTCGTTTCCATCGTCGTTGTCGTCGTCGCCACTATCGTCGCTATCACCGTCGCCGCCATCGCCGCCTCTATGGACGGAGGAAAATAATTGTAAAATAGAGAAAAGTATTATCACGAGCAAGATGGAGGAAAAAAGGAGGAGATCGAAATGCCGCCGGCATTGAGGATACTGGGGGATTGCAACGACTAGTATAAGGCCGAGTGTAAGGTCGAAGATTAATAAATCTTCTTCGATACGGGCAGGGGGGAATCTTCCCTTGGCTTCCTCTTTCACCTGCATTCTAAATGGGGTTAGGGTAGGGGTACGGGTATTTTTAAGAAATGAGTTGTTCAGAGAGAGGTTGTAGTAGGAATTATAGGAGGACTTCATATGATTTCATGCCTTGCATTACACATAAATAATAGCCTGGAGCCTGGACATATGGGATAGGCAATTATAAGAATTTCATGCCAGTAATGCTCTCTGCAACAACAATTATTACATCCTCTGACCTGACGTAGCTCTACATTCGGCCGCCAATAACATGTCGTCACGTGCACTCATTCTTTACCGCGCGGCCCGACGACTTGACCCAGACCGGAACCCGGGATTACTATCTTCGCGTATTGCTAGGTATTACTCGGTATTTGCTAGGTATTGCTTGGCAATAACGAGAAATACCGCTCTGTGAAGACCAATACCGAGCAATACCGAGTATTGCTCGGCATTGCTCGGTATTTTTCGGTATTGCTCGGTATTTGTCTTCACATAATGGTATTTCTCGTCATTGTCGAGCAAAATCGATCAATACCTAGCAATACCGAGCAATACCGGGTTGTCATGGATTTAAAATATGCACGAGCGACATACCCACTATTCGCCGGATCGGGTCCGCAATTTTGTGCCTGCTACGTGGCGCGATCTCAGTGGTGACCGACCGGACCAAATAAAAGTTCCTGCAACAATTGCAATTAAAAACTTGAAAATCTCTAAACAATATAGAAATTTTTTTGGAAGCTTCTATCTGTATTTAAACTTGTTATCAAAACACTTCTCTTTTGACTTGATTTTTGCTGTGCTTGACACAGAAAGGTATCTTGCAACTCCATAAAATTGTATTGCAACTCCTAAAAAAGTAGTATTCTAAGAACAAACTTGCGCATAATATTCTTCCCCTAACTTCATTGTAATGAACAATTGCATCTCTGTGTTTAGAACACTTGGTCACATTTAAATGGTGTGCAAACTACTGTTCGGATAGGTAATATACGTTGGTATGCACCAATCAATTTAAAAGTTTAAATAGTTTAGGGGCTCTTTTTAACGCTCATCTGCCCCTGAATGCTTTTTTTCAATCAAAACAGCATATAGGAAAAAGATTCAAACTAGAGGTATTTTATATACATATGTAATTATCAAAGCTACAGGTCACATGGGCTACACAAGCACTACTCTCTGCGCCACTACTCTGACCGTTAACGGTCTTTATCCTTGTAGCCATCTATGCTCCGCTCCGGTTTTATATACCGCGAGCTCCTCAATAGGAATGTGTGCATTTCTTCTCAATTTACTGTTCATCTTCTTCTAACCATGCTTCTGCAGGAATTCCATCATGGTATCAGAGCTTACTAAGCTTCACCGCACTTCTCATCTTTCTCAATGGCGGATCAGGGAAGTTCGTCTCAAACTCAATCATCCTCTCATCCAAGCACCGCATCTCTATCAGCCACGATGGCCGACTTCACGGTGCCTGCACCCCTCAAATTCCTCATGTCCAATCTTAAACTGCTGATGCACACTCAACTCACAGTGGAGAACTATGCCATATGGAGGTTACAAATTCATCAAGCCTTCTCAGCCAATGGGTTTGAAAGTTACCTCACCGAGCAACCACCGAGCTCCGTCCCACCCTCCGACCAGAAACTGTGGAAATTAATAGATCAGAACCTTGTATCAGCTCTATTCTCCACAATATCTCCCTCGGTCTGGCCCTACATTCTGCACCTTAAAAACTCTCACGACATCTGGAATACACTGGAACTCCGACTGCAACCTTCCAATCGCTCGCGCGTTCTCCAGTTAAAGAACGAGCTACACAATGTTCAGATGCGTGATCAAACCATTCCTCAATATCTTGCTCAAATCAAATCTCTGGTGGACAACATTGCTGCGGCCGGATCGCATATCGAAACCGAGGATGTCATTTTATATACCCTGAAAGGCTTACCATCCTCCTATAACCCATTCAAGGCAGCGATCCGAATCTCACCTCACACGATATCTCTTGAATCCTTATACTCTCTGCTATGCAGTGAGGAAGTTAACCTTCAGTCCGAACTCCAGCAAGACACGACTTCAACCGGTGATGTCCAAGCTCTATACTCGTCCAGGGGACGAGAAAAACCTTCAACACCTCGCAGCACCAGGGGCCGCGGAACTTCCTCTAGTTCCACTGGAACTATGAACAGGGCATCATATCCTAAAGAACAAACTCAGCAGCAAACTAATCGCGGCTTACCGAGACCAACATGCCAGATCTGTGGAAAATCTGGGCATTCGGCTTTATCGTGCTGGCACCGATACAACTCCAAATACAGCTCACCTCCGGTCTCTAATACAAGAGCTTACCTCACCCCATCTCAGAACACCACCAACAATGAGTGGATACTGGACTCAGGGGCCTCTGCTCATCTCACACCCGACGTGCTACACATACCGCAGCCAACATCCTATCAGGGCTCAGATTCAGTCTCTACAGTGAGTGGATCATCACTTCCCATCCATCATAGTGGCTCGGGTATCCTTCCTCTCCCAGAAACCAATCGTAAGTTAAAACTCACTCGCCTCCTTCACGTTCCTTCAATATCACACAATTTGCTATCTATATCCAAGCTCGTCACTGACAATCAATGTTCCGTATCATTTGATCATGGTGGATTTGTCATCAAGGACCTACGGGACAACACAATTCTTCACCGTGGCCTTAGTCAAGACGGAATCTATCCACTCAAAGCTCTCCACACCAAATTCAGCTTCGATATGGCACGCTCGCCTTGGTCATGCTCATCCCCGCGCAATGGCCGCTCTATCTACACTTCTACCGGAATTAAAGAAATGTTCTCTTTCTTTTGTTTGCACTTCATGTAATGTGGCCAAGAGCCACCGTCTTTCCTTTCCAAAACAAGCAAATCATGTATCTACTCCATTTAGTTTAATACACTCAGATGTTTGGGGTCCTTCTCCTGTCTCTTCCTTAACTGGTTATCGTTACTACTCTGTGTTTATTAACGACTCCACACGCTATTGCTGGATCTACTTAATGCACACTAAAAATGAAACCTACTCAAAATTTAAACAATTTCTTGCAATGGTTACAACCCAATTCAAAGCAACCATACAAATTTTTCCTGCAACAATTGCAATTAAAAACTTGAAAATCTCTAAACAATATAGAAATTTTTTTGGAAGCTTCTATCTGTATTTAAACTTGTTATCAAAACACTTCTCTTTTGACTTGATTTTTGCTGTGCTTGACACAGAAAGGTATCTTGCAACTCCATAAAATTGTATTGCAACTCCTAAAAAAGTAGTATTCTAAGAACAAACTTGCGCATAATATTCTTCCCCTAACTTCATTGTAATGAACAATTGCATCTCTGTGTTTAGAACACTTGGTCACATTTAAATGGTGTGCAAACTACTGTTCGGATAGGTAATATACGTTGGTATGCACCAATCAATTTAAAAGTTTAAATAGTTTAGGGGCTCTTTTTAACGCTCATCTGCCCCTGAATGCTTTTTTTCAATCAAAACAGCATATAGGAAAAAGATTCAAACTAGAGGTATTTTATATACATATGTAATTATCAAAGCTACAGGTCACATGGGCTACACAAGCACTACTCTCTGCTCCACTACTCTGACCGTTAACGGTCTTTATCCTTGTAGCCATCTATGCTCCGCTCCGGTTTTATATACCGCGAGCTCCTCAATAGGAAGGCGTGCATTTCTTCTCAATTTACTGTTCATCCTCTTCTAACCATGCTTATGCAGGAATCCCATCATGGTATCAGAGCAATACGGAGTGAACTACAAAGAAACCTTCAGCCCTGTTGCCAAAATGCCTACAATCCGTCTCCTCCTCATCATTGCCATTCATCATCACTGGCCCCTGCTACAATTTGACGTAGCCAACGCCTTTCTCCACGGCGACCTCAATGAAGCAGTATATATGAAACAACCCCAAGGATTTGTCGACCGGGACCATCCCAACCATGTCTGCCGTCTACACAAGGCACTCTATGGCCTAAAACAGGCTCCCCGGCAGTGGTTTCGCAAGCTCACAGAATTCCTTCTTCATTTCGGTTTTCAATTCAGTCGGGCAGATCCCTCACTACTTGTCTACAACCGAACCATCACTCAACTCTACTTACTCATCTATGTTGATGACCTTCTCCTCACGGGCAACGACTCCTCAATCATCAAATCTCTTCTACAACAACTCCAAACCAATTTCGATCTAAAGCAGCTCGGTCAACCAAGCCTATTTCTCGGCATTCAAATCGCATATACTGCTACAGGGGCCTTCCTTCATCAATCACATTATGCTCGTGATATACTCATCGCAGCCGGACTCCAAGACAGCAAACCAGCAAGCACACATATCTCCCCCTCCGGTACCAGAACTGCACCTCTTCTCAAACCATATGACAATCCAACACAGTTCAGGCAACTCGCAGGTTCCTTACACTACCTCACAATAACCATACCCGATTTATCCTTTGCTGTCAATACGATCTGTCAAAGTATGCATAATCCGACCATTCATGATTACATGCGGCTCAAACGGCTTCTCCGCTACGTCAATGGCACTCAGCACTTTGGTCTACCCATCACCAGAGGCTCCATGGAACTCACTACATACTGTGACGCCGACTGGACTTCGGACGCCACCGACCGGAAATCCATCACTGGATTCTGTACTTTTATCGGCAACAACATTCTCTCGTGGAGTGTGAAGAAGCAAACTACGGTTGCAAAATCCTCCACCGAAGCCGAATACAGGGCTCTCGCCGCCGCTCTCTCGGATGTTATATGGTTGCGCCGGCTACTTCTGGACTTCCAAATACCTCTTGACGAACCGACCACCATCTTTTGTGACAATGCCTCCGCCCTGTCCCTTGCTCACAACCCCGTGTTTCATGCACGGACCAAACACATTGAAATTGATCACCACTTCATCAGTGATCACATTCAAAAGCAGACCATCACCGCAACTCATCTCAACTCAGAAGATCAAATCGCCGACATTCTGACGAAGCCGCTCTTCACAACTCGCTTCATCACTTTAAGGAACAAACTAACCATCAGTGCCTTAGATTGTTAGTTTGAGGGGGGATATACAGATGTAATTATCAAAGCTACAGGTCACATGGGCTACACAAGCACTACTCTCTGTGCCACTACTCTGATCGTTAACGGTCTTTATCCTTGTAGCCATCTATGCTCCGCTCCGGTTTTATATACCGCGAGCTCCTCAATAGGAATGTGTGCATTTCTTCTCAATTTACTGTTCATCTTCTTCTAACCATGCTTCTGCAGGAATTCCATCATTTTATACTTGATGGAAATTAAGACCAAATCTTGCTGCAACGAAGCACCAAGCAAGGATGGAATTCGAAGCTCGATGACAGATCCATGGCTTTTTGCGATGCAAAGCTTCAATAAAGATGAGAAAGAGAAGCTCTGCAACTGATACAATTGTTTGAACCTTGCTATGATTTTGCTCTTTGTGAAGAAATCCAACTCCTTAAAGTTAAGAGTTCTCCAGCAGTCAGGATCAATGGAGGCCTTATACCATGACTTGCAAACAAAGGGGACAGCAATTGTGAGATCCTCAAATCCCAACTTGCAGAAAACAAAGATCAATCAATCAAATAAATTACTTTGTTATTTGATTGGGTTGACGTTGATTTAATGAGTATTATGTGCATTTGAACCCTCTGTGTGCTCTTTGTTTTGTGCTTAATATATTTTGAGCAGGACCTTCTCTTGCAAAACGAATCGCGCAAGCGCGCCCAGATCGTCGAGACCTTCAAATGAGCCTATTCATGCATGTATCGGGTGTCATTTGAGTTATGTCGAGCTTGTTGAACAAATCTCATGATATTTAAATAATAGTTAAATAGTCATACAAGTATTATTTTAATGATTGTCTAAATCTTAATTAAATCATTATTTAAAATTAATATTTAAATATTACTCAAATTATTATTTAAATACTATTAAAATTATTTTTGTACATATAAATATATAATAAAACATTAATGAACATAAATATTATTTTTGAAGTATGATTCTCTCATTCATATTCAATTTTTTTTTTTTTTTTTTTTTTGGGACAAATTAAGGGCCAGGCCCATTCATTCCAATATAGAAAATAGTTACAATAGTAGAAGTGGAAACAAAAAACTATTATGAGGAGAAACAAAACAATAAGAAGGGGGAGGGGCCAAAAAATGTGTAAAACAATACACATCAAAAATTATAAGTGCAAGCAAAAACTGCAAAGCACCAAAATGTAAGAAAAATTCAAACAGCAGTGATTTTTGCCTCTTTGTAGATTTTTTTTTGCACAAATTGATAATGTGAAGCATTTTTCATGCAAAATATGTTAACTTAAAATATAATATTTTTTAAGTCATCACTAAGAAGTGATGAGGACACAGCGGCAAAAATCACTGTTGTTAACAAAGAACCAACGTACACAATGTAAGGCAAAATTTTTTTGAAGTAAACTAAATGATTTGTAGCTCACTTACGAGCACAATTATTTTTGTCACTCTACGAGGAAGTAACTTATCTCTAATCTTATTTGCCACTGGAGCTACTCCAACCTTTCCACGTATATGCTCGCTTTGTATCATGTCTCTAAGAGTAAAGCCATAGCCACTCATTTATCCTAAGCATCCTCATCTCTGCAACACTTAACTTAATGTTATGTTTCTTTTTAATGGATCTATGCCATAAAAAATTGCAGGTCTAGCCACCATCTTATAGAATTTTCCCTTAAACAAAAAATTTATTTGGCCACTGCTTTTAGAATTTTTTTTTTACCTGAAATCTACTTTCTACAGAACCTTTCAAAAATTTTATTTTCTCCGCAACAATTTTAAAATCTCTTTATAAACAACTAAAACTTCCCGAAAAAGATAACAAATCGAGATATGGTGTACAATAAACCAAAAAAGAAAGAAGGTTCAGATAAAAATGAAGGGAAATAAAGCAACATAAATTAAATCAATTATGGTGAGTTTTGAATTTGAATTTAAACCTACCATTTAAATTTATGATAAGAATTTATCAAATTTATTATCAAAATATATCCCGAAAAAGATAACAAATCGAGATATGGTGTACAATAAACCAAAAAAGAAAGAAGGTTCAGATAAAAATGAAGGGAAATAAAGCAACATAAATTAAATCAATTATGGTGAGTTTTGAATTTGAATTTAAACCTATCATTTAAATTTATGATAAAAACTTATCAAATTTATTATCAAAATATATGCTCTCTTATTGAGGATATTATTCTTGATGGCTCTTTTTTTCGGCCCTTCATAAATATGCTTGTTTGTGTTAGCTTTATAAATAAAAAAAAAATCATAGTTTTCTTATTATTTCTAACGTGGCATTCGAACATTTTCTTCTTCCATCCTCTCATTCTCCTTCTAGTGATCATACGACACAAAAATTCTTAGTTTTAATTGAAGAAATCATGAGGATTTACCTTCTCATGCACGTATTTTAATCTTTCATGATCTTGAGATAGTAAACATTAGTGAAGAAATCGACAGCAGAGTCTTTGATTTCCTTCAAGTCAATTGAGATTGTTGTGTACGGAATTCAGACGCATCCAGATATGTCACATCACCCAATAAACTATGCATTTGATTACATGGCATGACCTATGCAAAATAAGCCATGAATCGATGCACGACTGGACACCGTTTGTAGCCGAATAAAATCTATCACGCTATGCTGGAGTCAGGTGATTGCTTCCCATCACGCAACACTGACACCATCATGGCGTGATAATTTAAAAGATGCCTTTGATGAAGCCAATATATAATACGCAGCTGGAACAAGAGAAAATGAACGGCAATAATATATTTTAAGATATTTGATAATATATTTCAGGATTTATGATAGTTATATATTTAAATTGTATGATTATTGAGATTATTAAATTAAAATTACTCATTAATTATTATTTAAACTATTAATTATATATTTTAAGTTATATTAATTAAACTAATTATATTATTTTTAATTACTTGTATATCATTAATTATTCAATTAAGTTAAATTAGATAATTATTTTATGCACTAATTATACTATTATTTTAAATTATATTAATTTAGCAGTGATAACTTAAGAGGCCCGTAAGGTTTGCCTTTCATCTTCTCTTTTCGTCGTTGTTCGGCTTCGGTGCTTCGTAGGTGTATAGATTGCACGCGTCAATACTACGGCTCCTTCGTGGTTGTTCAACTTCACTCCTTCGATGACTTTCCCTTCCTGTCGGATCAGAAGTTAGGACATTTTTGATCGGATGCAACAACGGGAGCTCGTTGGCTTTGAAGGTAACTTTCTGCCTTTCGCGCCCTTCTCCGGCCAATTCCCGTAAATCTCATTAAATCTGAGAGAGAATAGGATTATGATTTACACCTATTTACCAGGATTTATGTCGTAAATCCATAAATCTCATATTTACGAATTCACTAGATTTACATATGCGCGAAATTCGTTTGGCTGGATTTATGTAAACTTAAAACTACAGCTAAATCCAATACGAAACACCCATTAGAAAATTATTAAAACTTTTTTTATATAGAAGAAAATAGCAGAAAATTTAAAATAAATGGATCAAGAACTTTGAAGATGGAGAGAAAAAGAAGTAAATTTTAGTAAATAAAATTGGAAGTATAACATGAAATTTGTCCTAATTTCTAACATGAAATTCCTACGAAGTCCTCCTGAAATTCCTATTACAAACTCATTTAGAATGCAGGGGAAAAGAATCTCGGCCTTGCACTCGACCTTGCAATACATCAGACAAGGTCAATGCTGCCGACGTCTCTTCCTTGTTTTTTCTCCATCTTCCTCGCCATAATCAATTTTCCTTATTTTACTATTAGTTTCCCCCATCCACAGAGGCGGCGACAACGACGATGGCGGCGAGGGCGACGACGTGATGCAGCCAAGGAACAATGAGGCTGGATTAGATCCGGCTATCATTTCTTCATTTCCGATGCTTCGCCGTCATAAGGCGACGCAGTTGGTGGAGGGGAGACGCGTATCAAGACCAGGACGAAGGTGATTTTAGTGGCTCTCCGTGCCAAAACAAAGATGAATGTAGTGGCTGCAAAGATAAAAATTTGTAAGCTGGGTGCTTCTCAATAAATAAATGCTTAGTTTCGTTTGTTAAAAAATAAATGCCGCATATGAGACACTCTCTGTTTTAAAAAAAGCCACGGATTGATACAATCCGGGTGGAAGCAATGGCGCACTCTGTTACGTGTCTCCCCTCCACCAACTGCATCGATGGCGAAGCATCGGAAAGGAAGAAATGACAGCCGGATCTAATCCAGCCTCATTGTTCCTTGGCTGCATCATGTCGTCGCCGTCGCCGCCATCGTCGTCGTCGCCGCCTCTGTGGATGGACGAAAATAATTGTAAAATAAGGAAAAGGATTATGGCGAGGAAGATGGAGAAAAAAAAGGAGGAGCCGTCGCCACCATTGACCTAGTCTGATGGATTGCAAGGTTGATTGCAAGGCCGAGTGCAAGGTGAAGGAGTTATATATCAAATCTTCCTCCGCACTCCTCTTTCCCTTGCATTCTAAATGCGGGCTGGGGGAATCTTTCCTTGGCATTCCTCTTTCACCTGCATTAATCCTCTTTCACCTTAAAGGAATGCATTCTATATTGGTTTCGGGTAGGGGTGCGGGGATTTTTGAGAAATGAGGAGTGTGGAGAGAAAAAAATAGCCTGGAGCTGGAGCTGGAGCTGGAGCCTGGAGCCTGGAGCCTGGAGCCTGGAGCCTGGACAAAAATAATTGTGTTCGTAAGTGAGCTACAAATCAATTAGTTTACTTCAAAAAAATTTTACCTTGCATAGTATACGGTGTTCTTTGTTAACTTAGGTTGGAATCTTCATTTAATCTTTGTCTTTTTTGACAGGCATTGATTTCATAATTCCTTGCATGCTGTCAATCTTGCGATGCCAACCTAATTATCCTTGTAGGAGGTCTCCATGGCTTGCTCAACGAGCTCTAATGGCTGTCTACCATTGCCATTGCCATCATTCTCCCTATGCCAGTTAGCATTCCATTATACCCACACGTTCCCTTGTTCTTAAACAGCCACTTCCAACTTTTTAGCTAATACATGATACCAGCACTATTCTCATTACTAATTATATTTAACTTTTAATCTCTTTAGTTAACACCTCTTTGACATAATTATTTTTTGTGCTTTGTTTGTTTGACCAAAACAAATCATTAGAAGCCAAATAGAGATGTTTTGTCTTTCTTATAGAACTGATCACAAACTATGTTTGAACCTAAAATTATAAGTTGCTAATACAAGGATGGCAAAGTCATCCTTCAAGAGGTAATCTTCAATAGGAGGCTAAATGCGTAGTTGTAAAATATTGTTTAACTTTTTGAAACAATTTATCATCATAACATATGTAACTGTAAATATATTTAGCACACCTTCAGGAGTCCTTCAGTGAGAAATATCAACAGAAGTTTTAGGAAGAAGTAAAAGATTGGTGACATTTGACATGGTTGCTTCCTGTACAAGTGCAAATCAATATCAGTAAAAGATAGGTTGTTCCACCTCTGCATCACCCTCTTGATTAATCCATCCATACAAACTACACCTTATATTTGATCTCACTTCCTGTAATTTATTTATCATTTGAGGAGCTGGAAACAAAACGAACAGTATTATAACTGCAAGAATAACAGAATTTTCATGTATGTTCATCATTATATCATCAAAACTATCATCCTTAGTCAAACCCAGTAGGACTGGTAGGTAATCTTCAATGGCCTGCAAAAGATCTGCTATTGTAGAACCTCCTTCAACAATACAAATTTCTCATTAACTTCTTCACTTCTTCAAATTGAAACAGTAAATTCATTGTAGATGACAGCATACCATGGTGCATAGCTGCCTTCAGCAATGGTGTTGTCTCTCAATTGGTGCTTCTTATGCAGAATCCAGACACATATACATAAGATATTATTAAATGCGGAGTTTGGACGTAGCTTTTCATCCATACTCCAATCACATGATGACATGTGAATTTATTTCCTCTTGTACACAAGATGACAATATTCGGACTCCACATGCAATAATTTTTCCATTTGCAACCACAGCCACCTCCCCAAGTTTTCCAAGTATTCTTCTTTAACCAACTGCATCTTTCGGGGTAGATATAAAGCATCCCATGTCCCTTAAATTACTTCTAGAAATTCAATTTGACCTACAATAAACAAACAAAAAAAGGTTTATTAGCATATGATACTTCTAAAGAGAAACTATTGGATGAAAATCATAGGCAACCAAGAAATTTGAAGCACTCAAAGCTCCATCATACAGCACAACGCTCAGGATGTTAGCATGAATTCTCTTTCCTTTTTCATCTTGATTATCAGTTTTATAGCCACTTGGATAATTAGGGGATGTCCATTTTCTCATGGAGGCCACAATTCTTCCGTCCGCAGCTTCTTCTGTAAAATTGATTGACCTCCTCGCATTTTTCTTTTCAGGTTTTCATATTGCCAGTGAAGTTCTAATACCATTCTATTTTATCTTTACATTTCTCCTGATTGAAAACTTAGCAAAACTTTTAAGCAATAAAGCATAAGAACTATCTACAGCAGAAAACTAACTTTTTGCTCTCTCTATTTTTTCATGTGTATATGTTTTTCCTGTCTTCATCTTTACATTGCTAGAAGATTGATATATCATAAAAAATTTATATTGATGGGGCATGAATCTCGAGGCAAAATTAAATTGAAAGCTTCTGAAATTAAATCTGGGACTATCCAAACACCGATTTCAGCAAACTAATAATCGAACTGAAATTCTTAAAAGACAAACCCAACGACATCAAAATCAATCATATTCATGCTCGAATGAGCCAAAATCAAGGGTCCAAAACATATTTAGAATATTCAAAGCATAAGTTGGATTACCAAATGAATTTCAAACATCACATGCTTATAATCAAATCGAGCGGCTCGACGAGACAAATCCAACGAGCCCAAGATTGTCAAATTCCGATATCATTAAGACATTTAAATGACATATTAATGGTCTATAATCAAGGGGATCAATATCAAACATCCATTCAAACCACTCTCATCTTGACCTTGATCCTCCTCATATTTACAAGCCAAGTCACTCTTAAAGAATTATAAATAGCCTCCATTTTTCTCATGACAGAGAGAGAAAGAAGAGGAAAAAGAATGGAGGATAAGGGAAGAATTAGCCGCCTAAGTTCTTCCCAACCAACACCAGACTTCCACCTATTTGTCAACCACCACCGACTTCCGCCCGTTTGTTGACCACCGTCATACTTCCATCTGTTCGTCAACCACCATCGGACTTCTGCCCTTTTGTTGACCATCATCAAAGTTCTTTCTGACAACCGTTAGAGTTCTTCTCGACCATTGTCGGACTTTCACCTGTTCGTCGACCACCGCTAGAATTCCGCCCATTCATCGACTGCCGCCGAAGTTCTTCTCGACCATCGTAGGACTTTCACCTATTCGTCAACTACCGTCGGACTTTCACCTATTTGTCGACTACCGTCGGACTTCAACCCATTCGTCGACCACCGTCGAAGTTCTTTCCAACCGCCACCGAACTTCTGCCCTTTCATCAACCATCACCAAAGTTCTTTCCCACTACTGTCGGATCTCTGTTCATTCATCGATCACTGCCAAACTTTTGTTTGTTGATCATTACCAGACTTCTGTTCGACTCTTCAATCTATTATAATTCCACTATCTCCAACTAAAGGAGCAAATCAAGTTTTGTAATTCATCCAAACTTAGTAAAATTTTCTCATCTAGGTCATTCCCCATGGTTTTCCCTTTTTCAGGTTTTCCAGGTAAAAAACTTCTGGTGTTGTACCTCTCTCAACTATCTGTTGGTATGCCGGATATACATACATCACTAAGACGTTTTATTCTCTTACTCTACTGCCGCATATATTCTCACTCGCAATAGTTTAGCGCCATCTGTGAGAAATTGTTCCTCCAATACTTCTTTTTCAATGGTTTATCAAAGTAATACCAAAATTAGATTCTCTCGCTCTAACACGTATCAAACTAGATTCACATATGGCAATCATGGACGTCGTAATAACTCAAGAGAATGGCCTTGTTCCCTGGAAACTTAAATCCATAGATTGGAGGAACAATAGGCACAAATCTTATAAATTTTGGAGGAGGCAAGCTAACAATGGACGTCGTATCATAATGATGAAGCTCTTCTTCCACATCCTCATCAAGATAATATAGGTAGACAATTCCAAAATGCTCATTATCAAGTTAATGCTCCTTCTCCATAATATAATTCAGAGATAAATAATGCTGCAAGTTCAACACATCCTCCACCTAGAGCCCATCACATGCAAACTCTTCAACCCGCTCTAGATACTCCTCGCAATGTCATACGAGATGAATTACGATGACTAGTCCAAGAAGAATTTTCAATAAGGTATAGAAATAATTTTAATCTCCAACAAAGTTTTCAAGAATCTTCTCCGCTAAAAAGATCTTGTTGTTAATAATTCCCAAACAATATCTTGTTGATATTTGGTTCTTTAATAGTTTATTAAAAGACTCTCTTAAAGACTCATGCTGATAATATTCAAGATGCAGCCAAGGAGCACTTAGGTTGGATTAGATTCGGCTATAATTTCTTTATTTCTGATGCTTCGCCAACGCAAGGCGATACCGTTGTTGGAGGGGAGATGCGTAATCGAGTTAGCCGTGTGCCTGGTCAATTATGCCGGCAATGATATTGTTTGGCTGTTAATAGTGTGTGGGCATGCATTCCACTCAGATTATATCAATCTGTGGCTTTTTTTTAACAGAATGTGTCTCATGCTGCTCGAATTTGGAGGCAGCGTAGGACGAGACTAATGCAAGGGCAATGTTGGAGGTTCTTATGGTGGAAGATCAAGACGAAGGTCAGTGTAGTGGATGCGAAGATAAAAATTTATAAGCTGAGTGCTTCTCAATAAAAACTTAGGTTTGGTTTGGTTTGATTTTTGCTTGTATAAAATTTAGTTTTTTAAATTTTTTATCTTCGCAGCCACTACATTCACCTTTGTTCTGGCACGAAGAGCCACTACAATCACCCAATACACTGTGCATTGGGTGACATGACGCGACCTATGCAAAA